GGCGTCTTCCGAGGCACTGCGCAGCTTGCCCGACAGAGGCTTTCTTCTCGGCCTGCCCAAACCGCAGACGAGCATATCGCGTGGCCGCTCAGTTTAATGCGTGCTGTTGCTAATGGCCACGTTGTGCTAGTTGCGCGGTCTGTGCGGTGCTTCCCGAAGTTCTTTCAGTTCGTTTAGAATTATGTCGCGTCCTAGGCCCGCGAGCGCCAGTTTCACGAGCGCCTCCGAGGTCTCTCGCTTGGAAGAATCCAGGAACGCCAAGCGGAACTCGAGGCCGCCCCGGCGCCCCCCCCAAAGAGAAGGCGACTCTGAAGTCCCTTGCGGAGTCCTGCACTTCCGCCTGGGGTCAGTTTAAGAGAGAGGTTTCCCTCTCTCGGGTCGTGGGCCCCACGGGGCAGCACCTGCGCGATCCCGATGACGTCGGCCGCGCTCTTGCTCACCGCAGGGGGGAAGTTCGCAAATTGTCCCCAGGGGCAGCTCCCATTCGCGAGCTCCTTTGTCCGCGTGGACAGCAGTGCCCTCCAGGTATCCATTGGATTCTCGAGCGCCCCGAGGCGTGCATCATCGTCGCCAAACAGTTCGACAGCGCCCCCGGGCCCGATGGGATTCCGTTCTCGTGTCGGGCCCAGGGCGCCCCCCGAGTCCAGAACATCAACTTCCAAGTTTATCAGTCGGTGCTCAACGGGGTTCTTCCTCGGGGCGACTTTAACCGAGCCATGGCTGCATTCCTGGCCAAGGCGAGCAAGCTTCTGACGCTGCAGGTACCGGTCTTTCTCCGAGCGGTCGGATGCAAGAGGGCCACTGCCCTCGGCCGTGCTTGCAACGAGATCGTCTCGATGGCGATCAACGCCCCCAGGGGTCTGGCGCGCGAGCAAGCTTGCATCGATGTTCAGACAGGGCTTATCACAGGGGGGGGGGGGGGGGCATGACCAGCGACACTCTAGACATCGAAGCAAAAGCTTTCAAGTGGTACTGCCAGAACTTATATAAAGATGCAGGGTCCGCGGCCTTCGCTATGGAGGCGGCCTTCTCTAGCCCCCCACTCAGCGCGATTTCGCGCGTCCTCCTCGCCGCGAACGTGCTTGGGAACATCAGGGCGGCCGTCCAGGTTTTGCGTTCGCGCGTTAGGATCGAGATTTCCTCCTGCGGTGTGAGGGGCCACCACTTCTGGCAGGGGCGGGAGATCAAACAGGGGTGCCCCCTTTCTGGTTCGATGAGAATCGCCCTGGCCATCGATCCGATCCTCTAGATGATGTTTGAAAATGCCTGGGGGCATCGGGCTCGTTCGAGCTCCCGGACGACGTCGGGCTCGTCTCCAGGAATATCTACAAGGCGCCCTCCATTGTCCCTGAGGTCTGGGCGGTCGCGGCAGGAGCTGCAGGTCTTTTGTCCCATAAAAGGAAAACGGTGGGCGAGCCCCTCCTGCCGGCCCATCTCGAGCAAGTTCACGAGCGCGCTCCGCGATTTCTGGATCAGTTTTATTGTTGCTACCGTTGCGAGGCGCATTGGGATTACTATTGGGTGGAATGCTCAGCGCCTGGGCTGGGGGGAACCTGTTCGGAAAGTGGAAGGGGGGGGGCCAAAGGCATAAGAAGCTTGTGCTTGGGGCTTACTAAGAGTAGCGCTAGGTTCAACGTTGACGGGTTCCCGCGCCTCTCGTTCAGATGCCGATTCTTCTTGCCGTCCGGGTTTGCCACCGACAGGCTTCGAGGGGCCGTGCATGCCGTCGCCGGCGCGCCGAGGAAAGCCGCCCCACGTCGACGCTGCAAGATGCTGCCTCCGCGGGGTGGGGGGCATCCAGATCAAAGGTCTCGAGTGCATCTGCCGTGCCGCTATGTTCAGGTTCGCATTTTTCTCATCGTCTTTCTTCGAGCACAGGCGGGCAATTGAAGCGTTTGCCGAATCTGGCGATTGCGTGCATCTGCGGAGGCTGCACCCCTTGCGAAGGCATCCTCGATCACCACCTGATTGACAACTACGACCATTTCACCGCCTTCCCCAAGCTGCCGTCCTTCACCCAGCTCTAGGAATGGTAAGCCGATCGACTCCTGAGCCCTGAACGGCCCCTCTCTGCTAGGTATGCTGTAGCCAAACGCATTGGGTGCTCCACTAGAGTCCCCAATTCGGTCTCCAGGATCGATTCGTGGGTCATGCCTGTACCTCCGTAGGCTTGCCCAGCATGCCCCGTCGTTAGTGCTCATGTCCTCGATCAGAATTATGGGAAATAGCTGGCGTGCTGGATGGTTCGAGAACCCACCCAGTCCTGCAGGTGGTGTGAGTTCGCCGCCGGGGGCGACGGCATGTCGCACGATTTGTCCTGCCCCATCCTAGGAGACATGTTCCGACATCTTTCTGAGCTTCCCGAGGTTTTGCTGGATGGCTCGGCAATCCAGCAGATTCTCGTCTTCCCCTTGGGCGCCCTGCCCGCCCTTGCTCTCCTCTCGGTTGGCCTCGCCCATGACTTTGCCTATTTTCTCCCGTGCGCCGCCCGAGAGCGGCCCCGCTCGGACCGCGAGCTCCAAGCTCTCGGACGGGCACGGCTGCACCGGGCAGCCCGCCGCTTAGGCGCGGCCCGCCCTCGCTGTCCCGATGCGGCCCGCCGCCACTGCTACCCCTGTGCTGCCGCCGCCCGCGTTCGACGTTGTCGTCTCGCCGTCGTCGGTTTTCCTCGGGTCCGCTCGCTCCTCCTCCTCATCTTCCTCCTCCTCCTCCCTTTCCCCCCTCCGTCCTTCTGCTCATTGTCACCCTCCGTCGACGCCATCGCGCCCAGCGAACTTCGATCGCTCAGCCTACTTCGGTGGAGCGCTGGCATTATGTGCGTGACGAGGAAGAAATCCAGCCGCCCAGCGCAATCCATTGCCAGTCGAGGCCGCCGAGGTTGTTCATTAACCTCGTCAGCGCCCTGGTCATCGCTATGTTTGTCATGCTGTACGAGGACACAACGTAGTCGAGCGGAACAAGCAGCCCTGGATTCACCATTTGGGTGGTCACGCGGTGCGACGGCACACATCATTTGCCCATGGCCAGGTTCTCTGGACAGCCTGGTCCAGAACGAAACGCCATCGAGAACCTCCACTCTGTCCAAACACAGTTTGAGCTTCTGGTTTTCCTGCATGCCGCACCCGGCGTTCTCGAAGCTCTTGACCACTTCGGGTTCCTCGGGGTCCTGGTCCTCTGCTGCGGGCATGCCGGCGTCGCCGTCTGATGCCCCTGCAGCTCTTGCGTTTGTGCCTCCACCTCCAGGCTGGCCACTGCTAGCAGCAGGAACAGTTGCATGGGCCTGGTGCTTCATGAGGCACTTGGCGGACTCCATCTGGGTGGCCACCTGAGCAGCTTGAGCAGCTTGGGCAGTTCATGGGCAAGTTGTGGATCACCCTCTGCAGCAATATCGAGGAGGACGGGTTTGGCCTGCGCGTCGCTGGTGATTCCAGGTGTTCTTTAAGTTGCTGGCACGGGGCTGCAGCCTTACAAGTGCCCCAGTCAACGATCCCATCTTTCTCGGCACGCCCGAGACGGGCTGCTTCAATAGGTCTATCCTTCTTCGCACGACGGGCCAACAAGTCCTGCAGAGACTTTGAGCTGAGGTCCACAGGCTGCGGAGGCTGCTCCGCGCCTTGGGACCCCACGAACAACACATCTTCTCCAACGCATCGGCCAGTCCCGAGGCAGCGCAACGGGTGCGGCGAAGACGTGGGTCAGGCGTGACCGTAAATGCAAGTTCGGGAACGTCCTGTGGCGCAACAATTGATGGTAGTGTGGTGCCGACGGCTTCTGCCAAGGTCCTCAACCTCGTCACCCCGATGCAGACGCGCCGTGAAACGCCACCACAAAGTAGCAACGCAAAACATACGGGGGATGAGAACGACCTGGTGCTCTTGGCTCTACGAGAGTTCAGCTGTCAAGGGCGCTCTGTAATTGAAGATCATTGGCTCGGGGCTGCCGCGCTACTTCCGGGTGCGCTGCCCAGTAACCCCCCAGAGGCCTGAACATGGTTTGGAAGACGAGTAGATGGAGGAGGAGGAAAAGAAGGAAGAGGCAGAGAAGGGGTTAGCGCCCGGAGGCGTTTGTTCAGCCCATGGGGCCCCAACAAATATCCCGCGAGTGTTAGGTATAGCGTATAGCTCCTAATTCAAGTCCAGGCCAGATGTCGCGTAGGGTTTATGGCCCCGTGTGAATCGGCACCCGCGCTCGCACGCTCGACGGTCCCAGGGATGGGGTCGAGGGCTACTGGAGCCCACGCCTGGAAAGACCTACCGCGTAAGCTCCAGATCCGGCCATCGGGGCCACGTCGACGAAGAGGTGTTCAGAAGTGTCGGAGGGCTTTCGGAGGACTTCGGGTGCTCAGGTGTTTTCAATGTGTCTCAGAGGCTGCCGAATGTTTTCAAAGGTCCTCATGTGTTCGCGGAGGCTTCCAGCAGGCCCCAAGAAACCCTCGGGGGTATCCCCAGGGGGGGAGGATGGAGAGAATGAGAGAGAGAGAGAGAGCCAGAGAGGAGGGAGGACGCAGGAAATGGGCGATGTGGAAGAGATGGAGGAGGGAGGGGGAAGGTGGAAGGGAAGATCAGGGAGAGCAGGGGGCGAAATGGCAAGGTGGCGGAGAACCAGGAGGAGGAGGAGGAGGAGGAGGAGGAGGAGAAAGAGGAGGATGAGGAGGAGGAGGAGGAGGAGAAAGAGGAAGAGAATGACGAGGAGGAGGAGGAGAAAGAGGAGGAGGGGGAGGTAGCGAATGAGGAGGATGAGGATGAGGAAGAGGAGGAGGAGGAGGAGGAGGAGGAGGAGGAGGAAGAGAGGAGGAGGAGGAAGAGAGGCAGAAGGGGAAGGGGAAGGGCGGGGACGATGGGGAGCTGAAGGAGGTGGCGCGAGGAGCCGATGAGGAGGAAAGAGAGGTGGCTCGATCAGGCCGCTGATCCAGCCGACATCTCGATAGATCGGGATCTGGTGCGGCCGACTGGGCCCCCGGCCGTCAGGTCTTTGAAGCCGATCCCGGGGGGACTTCCAAGGGTAGCGTGAGCATCTCGAGCTGGTGTTGCGGAGATTCGGCATGAAGACTAAGAAGAGCAGGTACGATCGTTTCGAAGACCAGGCTGGCGGCGATGGCGGCAGCGAGGAGGGCGATCGCGGCGAGAATATCGAGGAGGCTACGGCCGCCAACGGCAGGGGCAGCGAGGACCACTCCTTGCGGGCAGCGGGCGCTGCTGACGAGGACGTCGTTCAAATAATCTACACGGCGCTCTTCTTCCTTCTCTTCCTCCGAGCGGCTCCCCCCCGCCCTGCCGCGACTGGCAGCTCAACAGGACTGGGCGGACGAGAGCCCGTGTGGACCCAGCCTGGCAGGCCGTATCTTCCAAGTGACCCCCTAAACTGGCTGCCGCGAAGGTTTTGCTTCAGCTCCTCTGAGCCGTGATCGGATGCCCACGCGCCACGCCTGGGTGCCCGAGAGCAGTTGCGGGCCCTGCCCATGAGCACCCGGGGATCGGCTGCGTCCCGCGCCGTTCGAGGCCATGCCCCCCGCCCGCCCGAGGCCACGAGGGCGCCCTCCCAGAGGCTCCAAACCTAAGGGGTGACCTCAAAGCATCGAACTTGCATCCTGGAGGCGGGAGGAGGAGGAGGAGGAGGAGGAGGAGGAGGAGGAGAGGAGGAGGAGGAGGAGGAGGAGGAGGAGGAAAAAGATGAGGAGGAGGAGAAGGAGGAGGATGAGGAGCAGAGGAGGAGGAGAAGGAGGAGGAGGAGGAGGAGGAGAGAAGGAGGAGAGAATGAGGAGGAGGAGGAGGAGGAAGAGGAGGAGGAGCAGGAGGAAGATGAGGAGGAGGAGGAAAAGGAGGAGGAGGAGGAGGAGTAAGAGGAGGATGAGGAGGAAGAGGAGGAGGAACAGAGCAGAGCAGAGCAGAGCAGGAGGAGGAGGAGGAGGAGGAGCAGCAGCCTGAGGACGAGGAGGAGGAGGAGGAAGCGGATGATGATGTTGATGCTGCTGATGATGATGAGGAGGAGGAGCAGGGGGAGGAGGAGGAGGAGGAGAGAAAAAGGAGGAGACGGAGGAGGAGGAAGAGGAGGAAGAGGAGGAGGAGGAGGAGGAGGAGGAGGAGGAGATGGCAGTTCGACGCGGTAGTTTAGAATGTAATGTGTAAGGGGTGGGAGGCCAGAGAAAGAAGGAGAGGCACGCTCAAGCCTTTTTGGCTCGCAGCGCGCGAGCCCCTCTCTCATCGAAGGGAAGAGGGCCCCCCCTGCGGAGGGTGCCACAGCCATAGCGGAAGTTGCCTGGCTCGCGGCCCCCGCGCTCGCGGCCGTCCTGCTCTGGGGCGCGGGAGCCGCCGCCGCAGCCGGCCCGCACCCCCCCGCGGCGCGCATTGCCCAGGCTGCGCCCGCCCAGGTCGCGGTCTCGCCCGAGGATGTGCGAGACTACATCTTCGATGATCTCGATCATCTCGCCTACTTAGGCTTTGCGAAGCTTGATGACGCGGTTTCCCTGGTGGCCACGGTAGAGGGCCGTGACGGGCCGACAGCTGCTGAATTCGCGCAGGGGGTCAACCAGATGCAGGATCGTGCAAGGGACGCGACGCCCGCGGAGGCGACGCCATCGGTCCCCGCGGCGGCCAGGCTGCCGACGGGAGCCCCTGCCGAGTACGGCGAGTACTACGGATACTACTACGAGGCGGAGCAGGGCGAGCTGAGCGAGACAGCGGCCCCGCTTGACATCCACGCCGCGCCAGACACCACCGTCGAGGACAACGGCGACGATGGCAACGACGAGGACGAGGAGGATGACGGCCACGAGGAGATGGGAGAGCCGCAGGCCCCAGGTCCCAGACCGCTGCCCCCGTCCAGGATGGAGGCTGCCTTCGGCTGCCTGCCAGCCTGGAGGGCCGCCCCCGCCCCGCCCGCGGCTCCCCCCGCCAGGCCCGCCGCCGCCTGGAGCTGGACCGCCATGCTGAGGGCTCGCTTGGGCCGCGCGGCTGCCGCAGCCAACCCCGCGGCAGGCCTCCTCGGGACCCCGCTCCGCCAGGCTTGGGGGATCGCTTTCGGGAAATGCGCGCCGATCGTCTGGACCTCGGTCCTGGTGACTCCGGGATGCTTGTGCATATCGATTGGGGGTCGGGGCTGTCTAGACCGCCGTCGCAGTCGACGTTCTCCTGATCAGCCCAGTTCGGGCGTGCCTCGGGCGCTGCGGGCGCCGCTGCCGCCCGCCCCCCCCTGGCCCGCCCCTGCCGCCGCGGGAGCTGGTCGTGCCGGGGACCTCGCGCCCAGTCGACAACGCGAGGTGCAGCGAGGTGCAGGCCCGAGGGGCCCATGGTCACCCTCGCCACCTTACCTTCGTCGTGGAGGGATAGGCCGCGCGCGTCAGCCGAGGGTCGAGAGCAGGGGCTCTGGCGCGCGCGTCGGGCTTCATTTGCGATTGCGGGACGTTCTGGGGGTCAATTTCAGGGCGCCTCCGACGCTACCTGGGGGTGGCCCCTGCTGAGAGGCTCCACTTGTGCCGCGAGGCACCGTGTCGGGACCTGGGCGAGTACGCGCTGCACTTCGACACCTACAACCACGGGGATGCAGACGACCCTGGGCCGGGCCAAGGGCAGCAGCTGGGCCTGGTCACGCAGGCGGCTTGTCGCCTGCTCAAGGTTGCGTGGCGGTTTCTTGGGGCCCGCGGTTCCCGCTGCCTGGTCAGCAGCTGCGCCTGTTGCTGCCGCCGGCGCTGCCGCGCGCGCCTGCGCGGGCCGCCCCCCCGCCCGAGATCGCCGCGCATGGCGACCTCGGAGACGGAGTCCGAGACTGAGGAGCGCAAGTGCTGCGCCGACCATGTCGTCTCCGACCAGGACGGGCACGTGCAGCAGCTGGCCAGGGGCAAGTGCCGAGACCAAGCTGCGCCAGATCCCGCGCCCCTGCTCGCGGGGGACGCTGAGCTGGTGGCCGCACCATAAGCGATAAGCGGGTGCATGGGTGCACGGGGCGCCCTCCGACCGCTGGGCCCGGTCTGACAGCACCTGCAAGGTCTACGAGCTGGACTGGAGGCTGTGGACGCAGATTTGTCGGATTCGAGGGCGGTCGCTCATCCTCCGCGGGGGGGCGGCCCCGGCGGGCGAGCGCCGCAACGACGAAGAGGAGCTGCTGCCGCTCATCGCGCACTTGAGCGCGACCATGAAGAAGGCGCCGGGCACGGCCATGCAGCGCTGCTTCGGCGTCAGCACCATCGCGTGGCGATCGGAGCGGGGGGCCCGCTCGCAGGCAAGCCGCGGGTCTGACTGGCTCTTAGGGGGCTCGCGCGACGCGACGGAGCGCGCCCTCGGAAGCTGCCCGCCGCGGCGCGCATGATGGAGCTGATCCTGGCCAAGTGCGCCCTGGCCGACGTGCCGGGCCACGCCGCGATCTGGCGCGCGCGGGCCAGCGCGCGCGGCGCGGGGGCTGGGGTCGCAGCAAGGCGCCGACGGTCGGCGACGTAGCCGCGCGCATCGACGGGCGCCCCGCGTCGAACCTGAAGGAGGCCAACGAGTTCATTCAGGGGCTCCAAGACCGACCAGCTGCAAGCGGGGGCTGCGCGCAACCGCTACCGCGCCGGCGAGGCCTCGTGCCCGGCGTTGGCGGCCGAGCGGTCACAGCGGCACTTCCCGGGCCGCGCCGCCACCGACAGGGCGGGGCGCCGGCGCAGAGGGCGCAGCTTCAGGCTCGAGCAGGTCGCGAGAGAGGAGGGCCTCCCAGCCGACCGCATGCGGACACACGAGGCAGAGGAGTGCCGCCGCCCTCTGCCACATCTACCCGGACGTCGAGCTGGTCAGAGGTTCGGGCAATGGAGCAGCACCTCGCCCCACAGGTACCTCTCCACGGCGAAGGGGGAAGCCCGCGAGAACGCGGCGGCGGGGGCGAGGCGCGCCCCGCCTCGGGAAAAGGACGCGGCAGCTGCCCGGGACGCAGCCCCGCAGCAGCGCCAAGGCAGCCCCACAGCCACACCCGCAGACGGGATCCGCAGCCGCCCCCCCCGAGGACGCCAGCAGCGGCTTGTCGGCTCCCGCGCCAGGAGCTGGGGCGGGCGCCTAAGGAGAGCTGGGCGTCCATCAGCCAGTGTCGGGCGCCTAGTGCAGCAGGGCTGGATGGGGCCCGCGGCTGCAGCGCCGGCGGCGCACCCTGCGGAGGAGGGCTGGGTGTCTATCAGCCAGTGCTTGGCACCTAATGCAGCGGGGCTGGTTGGGCCCGCTGCCGCAGCGCCGGCCGCCGCAGCGACCGCGGCCGGCTCTTCTTTTCCCACGCGCGGGGAGCAGGCGCCCCCGCCGCCACAGGCCGAGGCGTGGAGCCACAGGGCCATCACGCCCCCGGCTGCCAAGGACGGCGCACATCGCCGCCGCATTCCAAGAGGAAAAGGGTCCTCTCTCCCTTGGAGGCCCCGCGGGTCCGTTTTCCCCGCGGGCGCCGAGTGTGCCCGCGGGGAAAACTGTTCTGTGTTTTTTTGTGAGCTGTGCCGTTTAAACTTGGCATTCCGGTGCGGTAGTTTAGAACGTAAGGTTTGAATGGTGAGAGGTCAGAGAATGGGGGGGGGGCACGGACAAGCCTTTCTGTCTCGCAGCGCACGAGCCCCTCCCTCATCGAAGGCTCGCCCGACCCGCCCGTTTACTAGTTTCCCCCCCCGTGCCACAGGGGCCCGGGGGGGCACGCTTTCCCGCTGCCACAGGCCGGGGCGTGGGACCACAGGACGCACGTTCCCGGTTGCCACGTGCGGCGCACCTCGCCGGCGCGTTCCGCGGGAAAAAGAATCCTCTCCCTTGGGGGTCCCGCAGGTCCGTTGTCCCCGCGGGCGCCGAATCGCCTTACTGGGCCAACTCGGCACGTTGTGTGTTTTCTGTTAGCTGGGGCCCCGCCCGCTCCTGGCCGCCTCAGGCCCCGCCTTCCTGTGCCCTGTCTCCCTAATTAAAGCTGTGCGTAGCCCGCCTAGCTTTTAGCAGAAGAGGTTCGCTCTCGCCCCGCAGATCAAACAAGTGTTTGTTTGTTAGCTGCGTTGTTTAAGCGAGGAGGAGGAGGAGGTGGAGGAGGAGGAGGAAGAGGAGGAAGATGGGGAAGAGGAGGAGGAGGAGGAGGAATAGGAGGAGGAGGTGGGAGGAGGAGGAGGAGGAGGAGGAGAGGACGAGGACGAGGACGAGGGAGGAGGAGGAGGAGGAGGAGGAGGACGACGACGAAAACGAGGACGAGGACGAGGAGGAGGAGGAAGAAGAGAGGAGGACGAGGACGACGAGGAGGAAGAGAGGAGGAAGACAGGAGGAGGAGGAGGAAAAGAGGAGGAAGAGAGGAGGAGGAGGGGTGGAGGAGGAGGAGGGGGGGAGGAGGAGGAGGAGGAGGGGGAGGAGGAGGAGGAGGAGGAGGAGGGGAGGAGGAGGAGGAGGAGGAGGAGGAGGAGAGGAGAGGAGGAGGTAGAGGAGGAGGAGGAGGAGGAGGAGCAAGAGGAAGAGGAGGAAGAGGAGGAGGAAGAGGAGGAGGAGGAGGAGGAGGACGAGGGGAAGGAACCGGTAAAAACAATGGCGTTTGTGGCGATCCAGGAACGCAGCGGAGAGCGCAAACTGGACAATCCGAGGAGACGCGAGGATGGAAGAGGAAGAGGGATGGAGGAGGGATGGAGGAGGAACAGCAGCAGCGGCAGCAACAGGATGAGACGTTGCCTGGAACGCCCCCCGCAGGACAAGGGCGGCGGCGCCGAGACCAGCGGCGGTCCTGCCGAGCCGACCTCTCCCGCTGGCGAGGCCGGGGCCCCGGGCCATTAATCGAGGGGGCCAGCATTTGGGGGCAGCGCCAGATTGGAGTGTTGTAGGCTTCGAGGTTCGAGTTTTCCGGGCGTGTTCGTCGGTACTCAGCGGCTTTCCAGGCTCAGGGTGCCTTCCAGCGGCTGCGCTTCGTCGAGAGCGCTCCAGGGGTGCCTGGACCATCCCGAACGGCCGCCGGAGAGCCGAGCTATGGCCCAGAAACAAGGAGCAGCGTTTGGGGGCGGCAGAGGCTTCAAGGGGGGGGGAAGTGCATCGACCCCCAATCGCCCACTCATCGCCGATGGTGGTCTGATTCTGCAATCAATTTCAAACCTCCTACCCCTGCTGGTCCCATCGGCGCTGGGGTATCGGACACCCCCACTGGGGTCCACTTGGCTGCGGACAACCTTCGGATTCTGAAGCCTGGCCAGCGCTTCCGAAGTCTGACCCGCAGGAACTGATAGCCACCCGCTCGGGAACGTGCGGTGACGCGCAGTTTTGCCATCGGGGCCTGTCGCCGATGTATCGCCGATGTATCGGCGACTCCAGGTCGATGTTCCCCCCCTGAGCCAGTCCCCCCGATCCTTCTGCCTCAGTCTGGCGGGCCGAATTGGGGACGGCAAATGTGGGGACAAAGAGCGACAGCACCCGTTCTACTTTGAACAATATTCGTGAACGTTGTCGATTTGGGTCCAAAGTCGTCTGCCCACCAGCGACCGCTGTCGGCTCGGGCATGCAATTTTCTCTGGGGCAAGCGGGCTACCTGCTGGAGAAGAGGAGGGCGAGGGTGAAGGATCGAGTAGGATTGAGGGTTGGGGTGTTTGTGAAGTTGCTTCTCCTCTTCGGGCCTCCAGAGTGGGGGCTTCCAGAGACCTCCAGAGACTTCGGGATGGAGGAATCAATCTTCACTTCCTCCTCATGTTTATTTTCCTCCTCCAAATGTTTCAGCTCCCCTTAATTACGCTGTATGGGCAATACCCTGCTCGTTATCCTCCTCAAGTGTCTGAACCCCCCCGGGACCCCCCCGGGGACCCCTCAGGACACCCCCCCCGGGCCCTCCCCCCTCCAATTGGGAGGGGATCAAAGGGAAGGGGTTCCCCTCGACTCAATTACGACACTGCTAGATTTTTCTCTCGCTGGCAGGCTTGATGAGGAGAGTGCAGGGAAAGGGGACGACGGAGACGACGACTGACGGAGACGACGTCGGGGCAGTAGCCCACCGTACTCTACGATTTGATGTCATCGCATTGGTGAGCCCTACGCACCACCTGCCCGCGCCCACCGAATCTGTGCAGAGTCTGCTCTTGAGCGCCCTTGTTGTTATTCGAGTTTGCTGCCCCCAAATGGCAAGTCGTAGGTTTGACGGGCCAATCAATAAACGCCCACGCCTCCCTCTCTCTCTGTGTCCCTCCCTCCATGAACGATTGCGCAACATATCATTGTATATGCGTTGGGCCGTCCGCCGCAAGAATGTCCATAACCTGTTAAACGCTGATGGCCCACCCCTCTCACCTCCCAGATCCCGACTGCGATTACTTAGCCGCCGAATAGTTATGGTTTTGATTGACCCATTGGGAAATATTCGACTGAGACCGAACGATGCGATTGACATACTTACATATGTATGTTTGTATACATACATACGAAAACACACGCACGCACGCGCATGCACTGGCAAATGCGCCTGAATTGCATGCAGTCACTTGGACCCGTCTTGGGGCCCTCGTGGGGGCACTCGGAGGCATCTTGGATGCCACCTTGAGCCAGTTTGGATCACCCTGCGCCATGTCGGAGGCCATCTTAAAGCACCTGTGGCCCTCTCGGAGCCCCCTACTGGGGCCCTCTCGGAACCAGATGGGAGTGCGCAAGGGATGGTCCCCGAGTGCGGTCTTCGTCCACGCCACGGTCGCAGGGCACGGCTGGCGCGGCGTTTTCTCTGCACCAGAGAGGGTGTGCATGGAGTGGTCCTTGAGCGCGGTCTCGATCCACTCCAGTTCGCAGGGCGTGTCAGGTTCGAGGGAAGAAACACGGGGACCATGACCAAGATGTCGCGGGATGTTGTCGATGCCGATCTTGGTCATGGTCCATGTCGGCCGTCGCCGATTCACGAAGATCATCCACGAAGTGACGCTGACCAAGATCGACGGTGACCAAGATCGACACGACGTTTTCACGTTCAGTCTTGGTCATGGTTCCCGCTTTCGCCCCCTCCACACGTGTTCACTTTCGCGACCCAGAGAGGGTGCGCAGGGGGTGGTCCCTGAGCGCAGTTCCTATTCACGCCAGGGTCGCAGGGCGTGGCAGGCGTGACCTGACTCCAAGGGGGGATCTCGGGAATCCCTCTTGAACGCGAAGCGCCAGGGCGGCCGCGGAGACGTCCCCGTCGGGCCGGTTTGGCCCGCCTTCTTTTTGTTTTTTACATGCGCACAACAACGAGGGGAAGCACTATGTATTAACTGTCCCACCATGGTGTTGCTTTACAATGCTTCTAGACATTCCATGAGAACGTACATACACGCACTCATACACATAATGTTCTCGCGCGCGGGGCAATATGTCTGTGGTGTGTTTGTTTCTGTGTGGGCCTGAGCTTCAAGCTGCCATGCTGATTGCCGGAGAGGCAAGGCGGAATTTCTCCCAGGAATTGTTGTTCGGCCACTCCTCCTCCGTCCTTGTATGGGGGTGGAGGAGGAGGCCAAGCGCCGCTCCCGCGCTGGGAAGACGCAAGGGTGGTATCGTCGCAGACGGTTGCAACCCGCCCTGGAGGATTCACGCGCACGTGAGCGCGATGGCCCGCCTCGGGAAAAAACGACACCAGCAACAGTGTTCGGGAGAGCGGTGATCGAGGAGGGCGACGACGACATCCGCAGCAATATGGAGTTGGAAGTGGTCGGGGCGCCCGGGAAGGAGGACGAGGCAGGCAGCAAGTCCAATGTCAAGCTTGCTGGGACCAAGTCTCTCGCGTCGAGTAGGCGAACTTTCATAAACTCTATCATATGCTTTATCGGCACTGGCATGTACGGCCTCCCTGCGGCATTCCAGCGCATCGGGATTCTGGGCGGCTTATTCGGAATGATGTTTGTTGCTTCTGTGTCTCTGCATTGCATGTTCCTCGTGGTCGACTGCAGGAACTTCCTGGAGCAGGGGAAGTCCAAGCAGATCAGGACCTACGGCGACATCGGCTACTACGCCTTCGGGTCGCTCGGCGCGCGCCTGGTGGATTTTTTCGTAGCGCTGACGCAGCTTGGCGCCTGCATTGCTTATCTAATAGTCATCTCTCAGAGCATGCACGAGGTGGTGCAAAAGCTCTCCAAGCGCTCCTGGATCTTAGTGTGCATCCCGATGTTGATGCGCGCCAGTTGGCTGCGCAGCCTGAAGAGTATTGCGCCGCTGTCACTGGTGGCGGAACTTGGAACTGGCATCGCAGCAGTGATTGTCTTGGTGTTCGATTGCCTCCAGGTTTTTGATAATGAAAGTGGGCACGGCCTTGGCCATATTGCGAACGAATCTGCTCATTCGAACCTGACGGGTAACATGACTGCAACGCTAACCACACCTAGCCATGTGGATCCAGTTGTAGTGCTCAACTTGCAGGGGCTCCCGTATTTCTTCGGTGTAAGTATCTACACATTCGAAGGCATTGGTATGGTTATCCCTGTGTACAATTCGATGCAATCCAAAGATAATTTCAAACAGGTTTGGGGTTTGGCACTTGTCTGCGTGGCATTGCTCAATACGTCGTTTGGGTTTCTCGGGTACTACGCGTACAGGAGCAACCTGGAAGACATTATCATCAGTAATCTTCCCGACGTGATGGTCACTACGTTTATGAAAGTGTCCTTGTGTGTCGGATTGTTTTTCACATATCCGATCATGCTGTTTCCCGTGATCGAGATGGCAGAGGAGTCCTTGCAGCGGCCGGCAAGCACGACGTGGGCAGGATCGATGCGATGGAACGCGTTTCGCTCCTCTTTCGTGCTGGGTTCCGCCGTCGTGGCGTCATTCGTGCCCAAGTTCACATTCTTCATTGCGCTCATCGGGGCCTCTGGCGGTGCCGCCCTGGCGTTCGTGCTGCCCAGCGCATTCCACCTCAAGCTGCGCTGGGAGGAGTTGAACGGCGCGAGACGGTGGCGCGAGGCGTTCTGTATCATTGTGGGCTGCATCGGAGGGCTTGTAGGAACGGTTCAGGCGATCGCAGATCTGAAGGCCGCCTTCGACGCCGGACCGGACTAGCAGACCCCGTAGAGTAGCACCTGGGCAGGCGCGGTTGGCGCTGGGTCAGGGGGGGGGGGAGCATGGCGTGGGAGGAGGAGTACCTGAGTACCGGACGAGTGAGAAAATATCAGGCCAAGATATCATTTGCCGATCAGGCTCAGGTTTCTAATCTGAAGCGATGGTTTGTTCGCATGGATCGGTGAGCGATCTGAGCTGGAATTGTCCAGAGATGCTGCACGCCACGCGAATGCGCACCCCCGAGGCGCAATCGAAAAAAGTCTGATGTAACAGACGAGTGGACCCGTCCCCCCCCCACCTGCAGTCAAAACTTTGGAATCACGCCCACGCTGGTTTCGACAGAGGCTCGATCCCCCGTAGGTCCTTACATTGGGTCTCCCTTGGCGTTCCTCGCGCACCTGGGCGCCTCCCTCCCCATCCGCTTGGCATCGCTTGGACGTGTGCATTCTTCTCGGCGGGGGCCATGGATGATCATTTGGGGTCATATTGAGACAAATACACGCGTCAAACCGAAACATGCCCGAGGAATGGACGTCCGAGCGATGGCGAGTCCGAAGTTCCTGGTGGCTTCTGACTGCGTACGCACCCGAATCCGCGCGGTGGCCTCGGGATCCCTCCCAGCCGGGGCGCGGGCGGCGCAGCGCGCGCGCTGTGGTTGCGTGCGTGCACGGCGCCCCGTGTTCTTGCAGCACGTCCAGTGCGTAGGCCCCAGGTGCTTCTCGGCCACGCGCACAAGAAGGCAGGATGAGGGGGGAAGGCGTCTCAGGAGGCTGCCAACTGGAAGGCGTGGGCCTTATCTGGAGACGTAAGGTTGGCGCCTTCCAAGAGGCAGCCCTCCTTCTGAGACGCCTTCCCCCCTCCCCCTGTTTCCTTGTGCGCGCCGCAACTACTTGCAAGCGACGCAGGCGGAGATCGCCGTTACCCAGGTCCACACCCATCCTGCGCTGCTCCAGCCAGCTCCCGCCGACTGGAATGCGAAAATGACAGCTGAGAGAAGCAGGCTCTTCCTGGCTACCTCTGGCTGCGCCAGCAGATACCTCGACGACCCATTGCCAGCACCCTCCGCCTTGTCTGCCCTGCAGAAGTGACCAGTGACCGTCGTCCATTGCTTCCGTGCAATACCATTCGAGAATTCATCCAAGATGTGCGAGGTTTCAGCGACATTGGCGAGTGTTGGCATCGCAAGACCACCGTAAGAAAGGCTTGCCCGACTCGGAGTTCGGCCCACGCCTGAACGAAATATTGGACACCACCCTGGTGCAACAAATTCGCAGCGGTTCGTTTTAGTAGCTTTTTTGTATGCCCAGATCGACTCAAGAACGTCGATTGGACGGTCGGGAATCATCCCATCCAAGACACGAGAAAACCCTTGATTGAGGGAACCTGTTCCCGCAGCCAAGACATTGCGTGCTACAGTCGATCCGCATCGTATGGATGAGCAACCTTCCATGGCTACCTTTCCATCCTTCGCCTTCGGCCCATCCTTGGTCGCTGGCCTCGCCCCGCTTGCAAAGTGTCGAGCTGACCTTCCAAGGCCATTGCGTCCTTATCGTGCGTCCTTACTATACGGGTCGACTGCAAGCGAGAACGGCAAGCACATCTTTGGTTTGCAGCCAGAAGCACGCATATCCAACGCAGCCTTTGCACACTTGACTGTTGCCAGCTCCTAGTGTTGTAGTCGGCCCACATAGTAAGGATGGGCAACCTTCCCAAGGGTACCTTAGCATCCTTGCCTCCTCGGTCCATCCTTGGCCACTTTCGTTGGCCACGCCCCTTCGAAAAGCTTCGAAATGGGCGTCCAAGGCCCTTGCATGCTTATCGCGCATCCTTATGATACGGGCCGACTGTACCTTACAATTCGCGGCAACATGGTCCTTGCCCTTGCCGGCGCTCTTGGCCGTGCCGTCCGTGGTGGTGCCTTCCTGGGCGACAGAAGCCCCAGCGGCCGTAAGGTTGTCGTGCTCGGCCCGTGCCGAGACCAGGGCCGATGCCCTCTCTTTCTCTCTGGCCTTGCCCAAGCTGGCTTGCACTGAACTCACCGAGCGCGTTCCACTACTCGCAAAGTGCCTACTCGCAAACATCCGAAGATTACATGCTTGCTCCGATGCAGTGTATCGCAAATCCCCCGCGGCGGATCCAGGCCATTTGCGAGTGGTTACTTTGCGAGTAGTGCAAAGCGCTTTTCTATGGACCTCGTGCTTGCATGCTTCCTGCCGCTGGAAGACGATCTTAAGGGCGGAATCTAATGCGACCTTCAACGCCTGCTTCACTATATACGAGTCAGCTCACTAATGATGGGCGCATGCGTGGACGTTGGCATCGACACTTGCGAAACTCCGGTATTGTATGTCATTTACCCTTCCCACAATTTGTGGATTTGCCCCTCTCCAGGTCTTTGGGCGACCTAGCCTGACCGCCTTCTCAACCAACCAGCTCTGCCGACATGAACTGCCGAAGCGAGCGGCATGCCAGTGCCCGTTAAACACCACGCAGGAAGTGGCACCGAAGTCTGTAAAGTGCGCTCGAGGCGGTACGGCAGCTTTAGGGCATGCGCTCAGGGGAGGATCAGCAAACCACTCCTGACTCCTACCCCATAACATGCCTTTTGCGAAGCAGCCATGGGAGTTTACTTAATGACCCTCCTCTGTTCGATTCCTTCCCCAGCTGCGTTTCGTAAAGGGCTTCGCTCGTCGGGATGCTTAGTATTACGGTGCTCCTATTGTCCTCTATAGGTGAAGGAGGGAGGTGACGACGAGGATGGTGCGAACAGGAAGCGTGCTGGCACGAGGTGAAGGGAGCGGGCACGTGGAGGAAGCGGGAGAGGCTGCAAGGACGGGGTTTCTTGCTTGGCCTCCTCCTCCTCCTCATGTTTCCCCTCTTCCTCTTCCCTCCTGACGCTGGGTCCTCCTCACTACTCCTTCTCGTAAGGGAGACAGTATCAATGGCACGCCGCCGTTGCGAGTCCATCAGCGTGTTACTTCCTCGTGCTTGTCCGAAGGCCTCGTGTGCCTTCAACAGTAACACGCGTGTATTCCCCACGGTGGCATGTCATTGATATTGTTTTTGCCCCCCCTACCCCCCCCCCCCCACCCCCCCACCCTCCCACTCCCTCTCCACCCTCGTCGTCGTGCCGGCGAAAGGGGGGGAGATGAGAGGGTGACTAGGAAGGGGGCGTTTTCCCAGCAGTTTCATTGCTCTCGTGGAGAGGGGGGGATCGTAGGAGGGGTGAGGGGGGGTAGGGACGAGAAGGAGGAGGGGGAGGAGGAGGGGGAGGAGGAGGAGGACGTCGACGACGTCGTCGTCGTAGCCTTTCTCCTCCTCCTCCTCCTCCGCCTTCTCCCCCTCCTTCTCTGTAGCCATTTTGGCTCAGGGCGTCTGCACCTGAGGGCTTCCGCGCCTTCGTGCCAAAGTAGCATAGCTCTGTTTCCCCAGTTTGCTTTCCAAACTGTTCAGGGGTCCTCCAGCAGGAGGGTTCGCGAACCCCACTATGGCTCCGCTTCCTGATGTGGCCAGTGGGCCCAAGACCCCTTTTCTGGGGCTGCTCTTGCGGTTCCGACAAGAACTGGGCAAGCCACGTGCGATGCCGATGTGGACGCAATGGTCCTGGCCGCATCGTCGCAACAACCAAGGGGCGCCACACCAAGGCAAAGCAAGAGGGACAGCCAACAGCTGGAGGACGTCGTCGGGCCATTCCAGCACCATGGGCTGATAAGAGAGATGAGAACGCCGCTCTCCGCAAACAGCCGGTACAGTTAGAGAAGAAGTTCGCCAGTTTCACCACGAAGGACAAGCCAATGGAGGCTGAAGGTCCTGCAGGCCAGAAGTATAAAATGTGCCGCTCGGAGATGACTGCTGCGAACCAGCGCTATGAGAAGGCCATCAACGAGTCTTTGCCTGGCCATGTCAAGCAGGAGCACATGCTCGAGCTGGACTCACTGCGTGCGCAACTTGAAAGCCTTCAAACCGCTGAGGCAGCCCACCGTAGGGCACAGGACAAGGTCAATAACGCGCAGTCGCAGCTCATCCGGCTACATAATGAGGCTGAGAAGATGGCCAAGCAGTTGTCCGACCTCCAAGCGCCGTTGGACAACAAGAAGGCTGCGATCGAGACCAAGAAGGTGGATATTGAGACCTACAAGACGGCGCTTGCAGAGACAGCCAAGGCCGTTGCGCCTGAGCGTGTTGGCCCCCTGCCAGACTTCAAATTCGCCACGGAGGAGTTGCCGGAGGAGCTCCATTCCGCCGTCAGCACCCCTTGCGCGGAGATCTTCGAGAAGGCGCTCACTAGCCTTGAAGGCCAGGTGCGCAAGGCAACCGCGTCCGCACCCCAGCCCATGCAGGAGGACGTACCATTTGACATGGGTGCAGAAGGTGTTGGCGGCATTGCTACTCCCGACGACGGCGCAGGCGGGGGTGGGCAAGGCGTCAACCGTGACCTCGAGTTCACGCCCGAAGAGTCTCAGGGGCTTTTCGAACTGGCGTTTAAAGGTGGAGCAGCCTCAGGAGCTGAACGTGACCTGCATGTCCAGCACTTTGAGAAGCTTCTATCCCACAGAGACAAGCGGCAGAAGGTTTAGCCCGCCTGTTCTAGTCAGTTGTTTTCCAGTGCGCCGTGGTCAGGCACGGCCGCCGCTCGATCCTGGTCCGCGACGCAAGTTTTTCATTGAATCTTCCAACGCCAACCGTGGCATCTGTAAGTTGAAGGAGAAGGTTCTGGCCTCCACCGCCACGATCTTCGTCGCGCAGAAGGTTGGCTCTGCTGCAGATTATGCTGATTTCGTTGTCTGGGCAGGTCCTCGAGGATGGAAGTGTCTAGCCAGCCCTGACGCCAAGTCCACCGGCACCGCGCCTACCCAGGGCGAGGCGATTCTGGCTCGGGATCACGTCGGTCTACGCGGGCCTGGTTTTGATAGCGCGATTGTTCATCGCAGGCGTGCTCGACATGCGGTCGTGCGCCTTCCTGGGTGGCCTCAACTCCGCGTCTGTCTTTCTAGTTGGTCGTTAACCAAGGTGTTCGTAACAAGAATGCTCGCATGTTGTCCCAGATCGGCACGCGTATCTCTGGCGTCAGTGATCCTGTTGTTTTGGCTGATGACTGGTATGCGACGCCGAGGGATATCGAGGTGTCAGGATTTCCACGCGAGGCCAGAATCGCGCCGGTGGCTCCGTCGCTGCCAACGCGCATCACCCCCGAGGCCAATCGCACGATTCTTCGCTGTCAATGTTGTGTCCAAGAGGTTGCTTGCGTCAGCGAGTGCCGATGCGACGTGGGCGAAGAGACATCATCGGCCCATCTCCTTCGGCGTGTGTCCTGGGGGATTGCGACAGCAGTGTTTGGATTGCGCAATTGCAGAGAAGCTTGGCGTTGGGCGCATCATAGGGCCAACCTGTGAAGGCCCTGTCTGGCGACGGCCATCTGGCCTGGCTAAGGCTGCCGTCCAAGCAGGGGTCCATCAACCCATTCGCGAGGCCCGGTGATCCTCTCGCGCGCGCGGGCTTTTTTTGGCGCGCGCAGCTGAGCAGGAGGTTCGAGCATCTACAGGCCAATCGACCAATCGACTTCTAGCAGCTTGACGTGGGCGGCACCGCCCAAAGCTAGATGGGTGGACTACGAGCGCCGCCCTGAGAGTGCGTCTGGTGCGAGGGCGATTGCTCGCGGCTGGGCGTGGTTGTCTCAGCCCCTAGAGAACCTGTGTAAGATGCTGAAAAGCGCGCATGACGTTGCCATGTCTTGAAGCGGAGGCTGAGAGTATGTTGGTCAATGTCTTCGCGCGCGACTTGATTCAAGTGCCTTGGAGGCCGCGGCCAGGGCCGCAGTAGGTCTTGCGGGTGCCCGAGCGGCGGTCGCGGATGGCCCCATGCCAGAACGCTCTGGCGCACGCGCGGGCTCCAGCGCGGCAAGTCCGGCGGGGCCCTCACTTGCGCAGGCGGCTCAGACTGACGACCTGGCTGCCGCAGCTGATCATGCTTTCTGGGACAGAGGCTGCAAGCACTGCTGCACCACAGTCTGCGCCACCGGCTGCATTAGTGGAGCCTCGGCCTCAGTTTGCAGACCCTGATGTCGACCAGGATGATTCTTCGGCCTCAGCACAGAGTTTTCACCTGCGCCCAGCGGCTTGCCACCTCCCGGCCCTCGACGAGATCGGGCATTTCAAGGTTATGCAGATGCGCGCGCGGATCTCCGTGACCGGGCATCGCTGTGGCTTGGTCATGCCGAGCCTGCTCGCGATATCACGCATTGGAACCAATGGTGCGAGGCGCTTCGCGGCGCGATGCCACGACGTGGAGATAATGAGTCTCTACGTCGCCTTCTGCGCGATTGACCCCCGGAGCGCAGCGTGGAACGCATCATCCAGGAGCTGCGTGGCAGGGCATGGCGTCGGAGCGCCAACCGTCGCGGTGCATTTGTTGACCGAGTGGTTTCCACGCCTCAGCCTGGTAGAGCTCGGCCCGTTCACCGTCGCAGGATAGCATTTGCAGATGTCAGAGCAAGCCTTCGCCGTTTCCTTGGAGACGCTGCCCCTGACGCAGGCGTCTGTAGCACCCCGCCGCCCCGAGTCTGACGATGGCATGCAGTCGGACGTCGCCGAGGCGCTGCGCGCCTAGCCGGCGTGGCTGCCTTCTGCGTGTGTGACAGCGGGTGCCAGTTCTTCGCCTGGTGAGTGGTCTAACATC